GCGCCGATGGACCCGGAGATGGATTTCGTCCGCGGTGACATGCGCCAGTGGAACTTCAGGGACACCGAGAGCGGACGGCCCTACCTGAAGCCCAGTGGGTTCGCGGTGAACAAGGGCGACAAGGGCGCGCTCGCGGAGAGGTTCACGCGGACATGTGATGCGCGACGTCGACGCGGAATGATCGAGGGCCACAATGCAAACGGAGCCTGGAGTGAGCAAGCCGGACGGTGCCCGCTGTAGCTGGCAGAGGTCATATTGCGCGAAGAGCTGCTCGAGAGGCACTGCAAGCAGCTCGCGTTTTCCGCGGAGGTCCAGGAGCTCAGCGACGACGAGGCCTGCCGGAGGCCGATGTGCGGAGGCCCCGCCAGCGTCGACGCGGCCCGCGAGTGCACCGACGAGTCTGACTCACAACGCGTGGATGGACGCCAAGTTCGACCCGGGGAGGCTCGCACATGAGACATAAGTACGACTGACAGGAGATCGCGAGACTGCGGGCATCGACGACAACGGAGAGAGTACCCATGAGCAGGGCGACTGGAAGACCAACCCTGCTCCGCCCATATCGCGCTAGCGCTGCATAACCATCTTGCGCCGTGCGCCGAACGAGTCTGCCGAGGACGAGCAGCCAACGGCAAATCTTCCAGAGGGGTCTACGTCTCCAGACGTCGGCGCGCTGTCCGCGCCTCCACCACCTACGCCACACGACGAACCACGACATCCTCAAGACGAAGAGTCACGCGAGGCCTGGAAGGCAGTGGATGCAGGCCTACGTAGAGCACTGCTACACCTTTACACGACAGCAGGGCACCCGTCGACGGAGGCGCCCCAGAGGCTGCTATGACACGGTCGCGCCACGCCCAAGGCCGTCGAGGCCGCTGGACATTTGCGGCGCAGCGTGTGCGCCAGTCTGGCGAGACCAACTACGTCGAGACTTACCAAGCTGCTGGTGACGCCACGCGAGTTCAAAGATCTCATCGAGATCGATGTCTTCGAGGAGTACACGGCCAACGGCACCCGAGTCTCGTTCCTCAATCTGGCGCGCGACGGGACATGGTGCCAGCAAGTAACACCGCTGCGCTATGGTGGAGGGAACCCTACAAGCAAGGAGACATTTGAGGCGCTCATGTCCAGGCGGATGTCGCGGGCAGGCACGCCCCGCCCTACCGAGCATTCATGGATCAGGCCCGCAACGACATGGCTTGCGTCAGGGAGCAGCTGATCGCACGCAGAGTGCACAGTGAGTTCTCCAGCGTGGAGCAGCACCTCCATTCCGGGCGATGTGAGCGAGCTGGCGGCGTCTGGAAGGAGCCCTGGAGACGCGCGTGCTACGACATGCAGCTCATCGCCGAGAGCGACGTGGACATCGGTCCGAGCGGCGACGCTGGGCGGCCTCGGGGCCGCAGCATCTGTTTGAACTACCAGGGACAGAAGATCTTCGCGGCGCCGGAGCAGCTTTGCTGGGCGACTCCGGAAGACGTCCTCGCCGCGACCTCGCCTGGAGTACCCCAGCGGACGTGGCGAATGAGGTCGGCGTCGAGCACCGGACAAGGGTCACCCACCCGGACGCACGTTGGAGGCCGACTGGGGACCAGGGGGAGCGAGGGGCAGGCGGACGCCGAGGATAAGCAGTCGGAGAAGTCGGACGCACCGATCGCGGCGGCGCCAGTGCCCGAGCCGGAGCCCATGACCACGGAGATCGACGACTGGAACGAGCGCGAGGACGAGCAACCGAGCGGACGGGGGGCCCAGACGCCAACGCGACTGGCGGCGAGGCCCCCGCGGCGGACTCCGAGGGCGAGAGGTCGACCGATGATGGCAAGATGCGTCCTCTATTGCTAGGCGAAGTCGGTGGTCAGAAGAGGCAGACTTCGTTCGTTGCGGACGCGCGCCGGCTGGGCCGACGTCGACACCTACAAGCGCGGCGCCAGGAAGAGCTGGAGGCCAAGTCGGCGCTCTTGTCGGATGGCCGGAATTGCGAGGCGCGCGACTGGCCGTGGATCCGTTATTTGACCGAGCGCAGCGGACAAATCGAAATCGCGCACGCGGCGAAGGCTGAAGGCATGTCCGTCAGCAAGATTCTGGAGAAGCAGCTCGGGCAACGCAAGGGCAAGCCTGGACGACGCGTGCTTGAGGAGCGAGGGGTCCCGAAGCACTTGGAGGAGGCGCTCGATGAGGCCAAGTTGAAGGAGTGGAGCAGTCTGCGTCACCACATCACCGTCGAGCTTCTCAGCGCGAAGCTGGTCCTTGAATTGCCGCGGCATGCGCAGGTGATCCCGACGCGATTCGCATTCATGGACAAGAACGAGGCGACGCGCACGGACGCGAGCAACCTCCCCGTCAAGTTGAAGGCGACACTTGTGGCGCTGGGCAATTTGGAGAAGGGCTCCAACTACCGGCGAGACGCGTCAACTGGGAGCCTTCTGGCCCAGCATGTGGCACTGGCCTGGGCGGCATCAGGTGGGGGAGGTCGTGATGGGCCAGCTCGCGTGGCACGTGATATGGGCGCCAGGAATGCTTACCTGCAGGGGGGCGTCATCGATCGCGAGCTATATCTCAGGCAGTTGTTTAGTGGCATGCCCGGAGTTTCTCTTCCCGAAGGATCGCTGCTGCGCGCGACTGCCCCGATCGATGGCGCGGGCGACGCCGCGCGCGGGTGGTGGAAGAGGTCGCGCAAGAGTCTTCTCGCCAGCAAGTGGAAGGTGAGCACCTTAGCGTCGGCCCTGTTCTACCTGTTGCACGGGGGAGAGTTGGTCGGCATGTGCGCGACGCGCGTCGACGACGTCTCGATGGCGGGTACGCGGCAAGCAAGCGTGGCGAGTAGAGCCTCAAGACTCTCAAGAGCCGAGTGGCCTTTAACCAGAGCGAGGTGCTGAAGTTCCAGCACTGCGGCCAGACGATCGAGCAGCGACGGGACCGCGGAGACTGGGCAGAAGGAGCGTGCCAGGAGCATCGCCCAGATCCAGATATCGCACCTAGCAGGGAACGACAACGGGATGCATCATGTTCGCCAGCCGAGATTCTCATGGTTGCAGCGACAGACACGGCCGGATCTATCTTTTGCGAGTTCGGCTGGACAGTTAAGCTCTCGCGTCACCGACCGTGAACGACCTATCGAATGTATCAAGGCGGTGAAGCAGGCGCGCGAGTTTCCGGGTCGGAAGGTCATAATTCGCGGAGGTTTTGTGGTTTGGCAGAGTGCAAGCGCGTTCGTGAGCACGGACTCGGCGCGCGCGAAGGTCCAGGACGTCGCGTTGCAGCGCGGCGAGGACGGTGATGCGACAGCCCTCAAGACGGAGCCCTTCTGCAGTCAGCGGGGGCGAGTGGTCGGGCTGATGGCGCCACCGGACGAGAATGGCAACGCGAAAACGTGCGTCATGGAGTGGAAGAGTCAGATCGAGAAGCGCGTTTGCCCGAGCACCCTGGCGGCGGAGACGCATGCGCTGGCGAAGGGCACCGTGATGGTGGATTGGCTCAGGGCGGTGTTGCTCGAGAGTCGAGATCCCGAGATCCACGTTGCCGAGTGGGCGAGTCGGGCGACGGAGATCCACGCGCAGTGGATGTGCGATGCTAGGAACGCCGTGGACCACCCGAACAAGGACGGGGGCGCGCCCCAGGACAAGCGCGCCGGCATCGAGCTCGCGGCGCTGAAGCAGCTATTGGCGAGGGGTGGAGGTGAGCTGCGCTGGGTGGACACCAGCGTGACGCTGGCAGGAGATGCGCTGGACGACGAGGTCCTCCAGCGGGTTTTGTACAGCAGCGAATACAACACCAACGCCAGCACGGAGATGATGGAGTTCAAGGGCCGCAAGGCGGCGATGAGGCGGGACTTGAAGATGAGGCGTAAGGCAGACTCAGCCGCAGTTGGCACGAAGCAACATGCGATCTCAGGAGGGGAGCAGGAGGCCACGTGAGTGAGAGGTTAACTCGGATTTCTGTTTTTGCGTCCATCATTTGCGGCAGAACCCATTGGTTCGTGCCTTTTCATACTACCTTGGTCAGGGTCTTTGTCTTTATTTAATAGGGGTGTGCATTCATATCCGTGTCTACGAATGCAAGGCCCTCTCACGCTTGTGGATGCTCTGAATTTGCGTGATGCAAGCGTGTCGCTGCTGTTTCTGGCCTTCTGTATACCCACGGGGGCCCCCGTGAATATTGCTACAGTGCGACCGCCTCGCATGATCAGACAATGATCGCGGGGCATCCATCTCATCCATCGGTGGCGCTGTGTGGCGGGAGCGCTTGTCACAACCGTGCTGTTGCAGAAGAGTCTATTTCACACAATGAGGAGCGCATGAACGGAGGATGGGAGGCGGGACAGGGGAGAACGAGGAGGAGCAAGAGGAGGAGGAGGAGGAGGAGGAGGAGGAGGAGGAGGAGGAGGAGGAGGGCGACGACGACGACCAAGCCACCCGATCTGATGTTTTCAATCTGCGGCCCGAGAACTTCCGACCGCTCCCCTGGGGGTCGTTTTCTCTCGCGATTGCCGTTTCTGATGGTCCCGGGGCTCCAGAAATTGACTGCACGTAACCTACTGGGGCCCCCCGATCGCCGAATGGCGGTGCGACAGTGGCGTCTTGCGCGCTTGGGTTTCTCCACCCCCGCGGCTCCCCGAGAAGTCGCGCACCAAAGGCCACTATTGCTTGGGGTCGCTCCTTGCGCGTAGCCCACAGTAGCAATCCCCAGGGGCCGCAGTTCAGGAAACAAATCGCGGCTGAGCGTGCCACGTCGTCGAGGCCAGGGCCTGCGGAGGCGCCGGCGCATACCCAGACATGATCGCGTCGTGAAGCAATCAGGGCGGTAGGTGTTTGGCCAATGTCGGCCTCGGGGGCCCTTCGCTGGGCCTTGGGGGTGTCCAACAACTTATTCCGGATGGAAAATCGGTCCCCGGGCAAGGCTCGGGTCTTCCAGGGACCCCGTGTTGAACAAGTCAGGACGTCGCACGCCTGGGTAGGTGGAGGCGGCCCTCTCCCCGGGCGGGCTCCGTTGGGGGGCCGGCGGAGCTGAAGACGGTCACGGCCGACGAGGTGGGGGACCTCAAGGCCGTGTCTGGCCTGCGGGGGCTGCTGTCGGAGGGCCTGGGCGACCGACCCGAGGCGGGCCCTTTGGCTGCGTCGTCGTCGTCGGCGCCGCCGCGCCCCCTGGGATCCGGGCGCCGCGGTGTGCTCTCTCACCGGGCGTCTGCGCCTCCATGTTCGGCCGTTGGGGCCGTCGCAGATAGGTCCGGCGTGAGGCGTGCCGCAGGAGGATCCAGCCACGCGCAGAGGGGGGTAGCAGGAGGGGGGGAGGCTTCTTAGAAGCACCCCTGCTTCTTAGAAGGCGCGGGCCTTCTTCATGGAGGCAACGCCGGCGCCTTCTAAGAAGCCGCCTCCTTCTAAGAAGCCTTCCCCCGTCCCCTTACCCCCTTGTGCGCGCCTCCAAAGGATGGGGTCCGTGATTTCGCAAGACGTTGCCTTTTTTGTCCGAGGCATCGGTCCTCAGGGTCTTCGCCGTCGTCGTCGTCAGCGCCGTCGTCGTCGTCGCCTTCCTTGTGAACGCCGTCGTCGTCCTCCTCGTCCTCCATCGCCTCCCCCCTCCTCCCAACTTGCTCGTCCTCTTCCCTCCTCTTTTATCCTCCCTCTCCTGGCCTACCCGCGGCACCGGCACCCGCCCCAGCTCAGGGCGGGTCTCCAACGGGGTTTCCTTCTCACCCTGCTCCTCCCTCCTCCCTCCTTTTCCTCCTCTTCCCCCTCCTTTTCATTCTCGCCCTCTCCTCCTCCCTTCGCCCTCCTCCCGTAGCCGTTCTGGCTCTTGCTCTGCAGTTCCGCGCCTCGTGCCAGACCGGGATAGCTCTGTTCCCCGACGTCGTCTTCAGCTTTGGGCCTGTCAGCCCAGTTCTAAATCCGTACTCGAGATTTCGTAATAAAAGGGAGGGGGTCTCATTTCGGGGGGGGTCTCTTCCAGGCTATCTTGGAGGGCCTGGGGGGGTCTGGGGACGATGTTTTGGAGGGTTCTCCCAGGCGGGGGGGTCTAAAACTTCTCGTCTGGGAGGGTTGAGACCCCCTCCCTTTTATTACGAAATCTGGAGTACACGAGGTGTGCGGTCGCGTATCTCGTGTGCAACATGCATCGCCTGCGGCTACAAGGTGACATGGGCAGGCTGGCAAGGAGCGCTGCTTCTGATGCGGCAGACTCATGGAGCTCACGCAGAATGGACGCTCCGGGTCGTCCCCCCACGGCCTCGAAGAAACTTGACCACACAGCCAATACGCTTCTTGTCACGGACACCTTTGCCGAGGGCTTGGTGACGATTCTCTTTTTCCGTCCTCCTCGTCATCCACCCTCATTCCCCCCCTCCCATCCGCTCTCATCACATTCCCCGCACCTCCCTCCCTCATCCCTTCTCCTCCTCCTCCTTTGCTCCTGCTCCTCCTCCTCCTCCTCCTCCCATCCTAATTATCATAATGTTTCCTCCTACCTGTTTCTCTCTCCCTTGTCCTCCTCCCTCCTCGTTTCTCCTCCTACCTGTTCCGATATCATCCTCTTCTTTCCCTCCTCGCATCTCTTGTATGGAGGGTAGGAGGGAGGGAGAGGCGGAAGCGGTAACATGTTGGGGGGAGGGGAGGGGGGAATGGCAAGCTCGGTGCGCTCGCGTCATATCTGACGTCACAGTCGGATTTCCAGCAGGGCAATGGTCGCGAGAGGGTACGCGATACATAGTAGAGCACGGCATGGCATGTCGTAGTAGTAGAGCACGGCAGAGCGTAGCATGCCATAGCATGGCGTGGCATTGCGTAGTGAAGCATTACATCACACAGCATAGCAACGCAAAGCATGGCATCGCACAGCGGCGCAGGACACAACACCGCACAGCATGTCATGGCATGGCGCCAGGTTCTTTGGAGGGTAAGTGGATCGTCTTCGAGAGGTCTGGGTTGGTCTGGAGTCGTGGCTCCATGTCCAGCTTCTTGGGCTCCCCGAGAAGCTCCACACAAGGCGGGGCTGATGGAGAGCACCCGCTGGCTCTGCTTCCAGCATCACCTTCTCAAAGCAGAAACGGGGCTCCCGCGTGATACTTCTTGAAAACGACGACGCCCCAAAGTGGGGGGTCTTCTGCGGCCCCAAATCAACGAATCGACGCCGAATGTGGAATCACTTCCAATGGTTTTTCCGGGGGGGCATTTTGTAGATTTTGGTTCCTATTTGGAAGGAAGGCCAGCGCTGCAGCGGGAGCACGATTCCGCACGAGCGGAAGCCCGAAAATGAAGCCAGCGCTTCAGCGTGAGCAACATGTTGACAGAACAACCAAGCGAAAACCCATTTCCCGCGAATCCGGTGTGTAAAAAACAGTACGCGGAAGGGCGGCCGGATATCTTCCGGACGCCATCAGGGGAGAGAGGAGAGTAGTACTCATGGTTGGGAAGTCTGGAGGGGAGGGGAGAAGGAGAGGAAGATTGGAGGAGGCAGATGGTAAGGGAGGGACGAGGAGGGTAAGGAGAGTGGGGGGAGGAGGAGGAGGAGGAGGAGGAGGAGGAGGAGGAGGAGGAGGAGGAGCAGCAGCAGCAGCAGCAGCAGCAGCAGCAGCAGCAGCGGCAGGAGCAGGGGCTGGCCGCGCTGATGGGCGGCCGCGGCGGGGCATCTGGAGGGTGGGAGCCTGCGGTGCATCGGCGATGTGCTTCTGGGTGTGCACTGCACTCATGGGGTCGTGTCCTTCTCCACCCACCACCAAACCACCCCAACCCAACCCGAAGGGTCGGGTTTACCCTCGATTTCTGGTGGGGGGGGGGTCCGGGAACGTCGACAAAAGCACATATGGAGCCCATACCCCCCCCCCCCAACCCGAAATTCGGGTCTTCGGGTTGGGTTGGGGTGGTCTGGTAGGTAGTCAGTCCTAGCTGGAACAGGAGCATCATCAGGGGCAGGAGGGGGACGGCGAAGACCACGAGGAGGAGGGGAAGGCGGAGGCGGAGGAGGAGGAGGAGCCCCCCTCTCCTCCCCCCCTCTCGCCCTACGGGCCGGTCCCGGCTCCGCTCCCAGGAGCACACGGTGGAGGCGTCCTTCCCGTCGCTGCGTCACCTCTCGCTCGGCAACGGCGAGGGCGGCAAGGTTGTCGTCATCATCGTTGTCGTCGTTGTCGCCTCCATCTTCGTCGTCGTTATCGTCAAGGGAACTCCTCATGACCCGGTTCCCTCAGGACCCGCTTGCTTCATGGTGACATCAGCTTGACCTTGCCAGTGCCCCGAATTCACGGATTCCCAATCTGACCTTGCTTTTGGAGGTTGCAAAGAGTTTCTCCTCACCCACATTCTTCGTCTACATTACCATACATTGCTGCGCCTCGCCGATGGTGCTCCCGCTCGTCCTCCCTCGTCTTGTCGACCCTCACCCTCGTCCTCCGCGTTATCTATGATGAAGTTCCTGGGAGGTTGAATTCAGCATCGGCGTTGGTATATCGGTGGTCGAAAACTTGCCCAATCCAGTTCAATTCTGCCCAGTCCGATTTCATTTGGCTTAATACCGTTTTGATCTGGCTAATTCCTGCGTTCAATCTGGGCTAGTCCGGCTCAGTGGCCCCTTCCTCGGGCTTGATAGTCTCGAATTGTTCCTACGAAGATTTCCCAGGAGTTGCCTCTTACATTCCATACCCCTTCGTCATATTCACCACGGCCATCTTCCTCATCGTTTGGCGGCGAGCGAGGTGGTGAAATGAGAAGGAGAAGGCCTTCTCAGCAGACGGCGGGGCTTCAGAGGAGCCCTCGCACCTTCTGAGAGGTTTCCTGTGTTTTCGGGGAAGGCTTGAGGAGCTTCTCACATGGGGACTTCCGAGCCTGCTGAGACGGCCCATCCCTTTTCACTTCTTTCGCCAGGCTCGCCGCTGAATCATCCATGTCTTCGTGCGCCTCTTCCTGCTCTAGGCCTCCTAGATGGGTTCAGAGTAGATGGGGTCCGAGGATCGCGCCGCATCGCCGATGCATCACCGATGCGGCTTGATGTGATGCCCGTGTTTCCACACGCCGACGTCGCCGATGCATCGCTGACGTCGCCGATGCATCGGCGATGCATCGCGATACATCGGCGATGCGTTGGCGATGCGGCGCGATCCTTCGACCCCATCTATTCTCATCGAGGACTTTTTAACCTGAGAACATCATGGACACGTGGCCTCACTGAGGGCCCCGTCTTTGCACTTTGGACAACAAGTCTGGGCGGCTCGGTTTCATACATCTGCAAGACAAGGCCCCCTGCCCCTGATGTTGGTGGCCCTCCTATGTCAGGTCCCCTCCCACAGGGCTCGGCATCCTTTCCTGGTCAGTCATACTCGGACCCCTTCTGGTGGGCCTCCACCCGCTCCTCCTCCCCGAAGCCCCCACCGGGGAAGCCCGGCCCCCGTTTGGCAAGGCCGCGGCGGCGGCGCAGGCGAGCGGGGGCGTCCTGCGCTTCGTGGAGCTGCGCTACCCCTCGCTGCAGGCTTCAGCGCGGCCGGCGCGGCCGGCGCGGCCCCGGCCCCCCCATGCCTCGGCAAGCGCGGCCGGCCCCGCCCCCGCCTCGGGGAGCCCCGCTCGAACTCGAGCAGTGGCGAAGCGTCCTTGCCTGCTGTAGGCCCACCAGGACATGTTCTAAGGACCTTGATTGTGGTGTTCACGGGATGTTCTCAGAGCATTTCTGGCTGAGATTGTGTTCGTACACGTCGGGGCTATGTTCTAAGGCCATTGTGCTTATTATTATTGTTGGGCCGGGTCAGAGAGTATTTCGTGGTAGGCCTACAGGAATGCCGGGACGGTCGGTCCCTGCTCGATGAACACGGCGGCCTTCCCCAGACCAGGGGGTTTGCAGAGGGTCCTCGACGGTTTTCGCAAGATCTCGGGGAGGTCTTCAGGGCTCTGGGAGGTCTCCATCAGCTGCGCCTCGTCGCGAGCGTCCTGGGGTTGCCAGGATCGCCCCGAGAGGCCGCCTGAGGACCGAGTCCTGACCCGAAATCCAGTGGGCTTGAGGCAACGCTGGGGGGGATAAGAAGCTCAGCGGGGGAGGCGACCCCAAATCGCCCATTCGTCTCCGATCGGGGCCGGGTAGCCCCCCCCGCCCAGGAGCGCTCGGTGTCCTTATCGGGGGCCTATCGCCGATCCGTCGGCGATGCATACACACACATATATATATATATATATGTATATATATATCGTCGGTTCCACACGATATTCCCCTCCTGAGCCAGTCTTCCCCTGATGACCCTCCTGAGCCCTCGATCGGGGGACCAGGCGTCTTTCTGCTCCAGGATCAAAACTTTTGCCTGCCACTAATTTTCGGCGCCTGCGCATACCGATACGATTCGATAAATGCAGCCGTAAGATTTGGTTCGGGGCTCCGACCCGTGATTTCTCGTTCAAGTATGCTGTTTTTTTTGCGACGGCGGATCTCAGGGGAGGTTGCTTTCGGGCGCCGGGCCCGTAATGCATTGCCAGGAGGGTCCCTGAGGAGGAGGAGGAGGAGGAGGAGGAGGAGGAGGAGGAGGGGGAGGAGGAGGGGGAGAGGGAGGAGGAGGGGGAGGGGGAGGGGGAGGGGGAGGGGGAGGAGGAAGGGGAGGAGGTGGGAAAAGGCCGATCTTGGAAGGCTCTCGGCTTCGCGTTTCTCAGCCAGGGGCGCAGGCCTCTGGCGAGCTGACTTTGCGATCGCACCGTTCTCAGGAGGAGAAAAAACACACAGACACAATTAATCGTCGATTCCCAGGAAAATATGGGAAAATATGGGAAGTGGGTTGGAAGACATAAACCAAGAAAATATGGGAAAATATGGGGAATATTTTTATTTGTGTGTATTTATTTGTGTGTCCCATGGCCCCTTCACGTTCTTCCTCAGTCTCGGCCCCCCGGGGCTGCGCTCGTGCCCCAGGGCCTGAGAGGGGGGCCCGGGATGAAGGGCTGCCAATGGGAAGCGTTCGGGAGCTCACGGTCAGCCGCGCGCAGAAGGGGGGGGGTGGGGGGAGGGGGGGGGAGGGCTTCTCAGAAGCGCCCCTGCTCTTCTTAGAAGGCGCGGGCCCTATCTATATAGATGTCAGGCCGGCGCCTCCTAAGAAGCAGCCTGCTTCTAAGAAGCCCTCCCCCCGTCCCCCACCCCCTTGTGCCCGCCGCCAGCATGGGGCCGCGGATTCAGACCATCACACAGTCGGATGCCTGAGCGCCCCGGCGGCTCGAGGCCCCGGGGAGCACCGCAGGTCCTGAGGCTTAAAGGGGTGTGGGATTTCGTCGCCGTCGGCTCCCTTGAAGGGGCCCCAGAACACACAAATAAATACACACAAATAAAAAGCTTCCCTATATTTTCCCATATTTTCTGGGTTTCTGTCTTCCCCCCCACTTCCCATATTTTCGCATATTTTCCGGGGAATCGACGATTAATTGTGTCTGTGTGTTTCTTGCCCTCCTGATTCCTGCGGGCCCTTCGCGGGCAGCGGGGAACGTAGGAAACAAAGTCGGGCTCAAGAGCTGGCTGGAGGGCTGGACCCAAGGGGGAGGGCCCTGGGGTTCAGCAGCGCTTCCCTCGGGATCCCCTCCCTCCCTGGCAGGAGGACGCTGATCTTCGAGACCCGGGCTTCGAGGAGGAGGAAGAGGACGAGAGCGACCCTGAGATCCGACGTCGCGACACACGTGCAAGATCGTACGCAATCACGACCGAAGCCCTGGGCCTTACCTTTCTGCTGCATTCCTCGAGCCGGATCGATCTGGGAGGGTCCTGGGGCCAAAAACGGCAGGAAAAACGCCAGGTGCGAAGAAAAATGCAACGCCCAGATTTCAAGGGATGAGGAGCTTCGAGGTTCGAGGAGGAGGTGCAGGTTGGGCTGCGATGAAGGGGGGGGGATGCATGGAGGGGGCAGCGAGGGCTGCAGAAAAGGGGCCCTGAAGGGGCCCTTTGGGGTCCCACAGTGGGCACTTCGGGCCCGAAAAGAGCACCCTTCTTCCCCCCCCCAGTCATCGCCCCCCCAGGAAGTCGCCCCAAACCAGGAGGTGCGAAAGGCGCGATGGAGGACGGGGAGGACGAGGACGAGGATGAGGAGCAGGAGGAGGAGGAGGAGGAGGAGGAGGAGGAGGAGGAGGAGCTTCACCATCCTAGAAGAGGCTGTGTACTCACGGCGTACTCATCGGCCTTCAGTCAGCGAGCGAGCGAGCGAGCGAGCGAGCGAGGAGGAGGAGGAGAGGAGGACTGCACGCTCCAGGCTTCCGCCTTAGGTTTGCACAGCGTCAAAAGGAGGAGGAGGAGGAGGAGGAAGAGGAAGAAGAAGGAGAAGAAGAAGAAGAGGAGGAGGAGGAGGAGGAGGAGGAGCAGGAAGGAGGAGGAGAAGGAGGAAGAGGAAGAAGAAGAAGAAGAAGACGAAGAAGAAGAAGAGGAGGAGGAGGAGGAGGAGGAGGAGCAGGGAGGAGAGAAGGACGAGGGCGGAGGGCGAGCAGGAGGAGGGCGAGGACGAGGGGGCGGATCCCAAGCCTGCTCTCCCTTCACCCTGGGCGCGCGCGGGCCGCCCCGTGCAGCAGAGGCCTGGCGTGCCGCTCCCCGCCCGTGGCGGCGTGCGCCGGGTGGGTACGGTAGGTTTGCGTCGTGTCGACCAGCGGCGACCCCAGCGCGGGCGTTCAAGGTTGAACGCCGCCGGCGACCCAGAATCGGTCGATGTTGAACGATCGGACGTTGCGGCAGCGGCCGATCGTTCAAGGTGGAACGATCCCGCGCGGTGTCGGGAACCAACGCCGGGGTCGGCACGACACGAACCTGCCGTAGGGGGGCCCCTCCCCGCCACGGCGCCGGTCCCCCCAGGCATGATGGCGTCGAGCCGAAAAGTCCGGGCGGGAGGTTTTGGGCCAGTGTCGGCCTCGGGGGGGGACCCTCGCAGGGCCGCGGGAGCGTCAGAGGACGGCCCAGGATGAGAGGCCGGTCCCGGGGAAGGGGTCTGGACTTCCAGGGATCGGGGGCGGAAAAGAGGGGGGTGATGACTAGGGGGGGGTAGATATCATGGCGGGGGGCATGATATCTCCCCAGATTTCATGGCGCCTCTTCTTATTTCATTACGTCCCCGGCCCCCCCGCTGGGCCGCGCACATGCCGCCGGTCATGATTTGCACCCCCCCTCTTGGACACCCCCCTCTTTGCCGCTCCCGAAGGGACCCCGCCCTGAACACATCAGAACGTCGCATGTCTGGGACGGGTGGTCTGCACCGACGGGCTCCCGCCAGGCCCTCGCAGGCGACTGTTCTCCCCCAACCCTCGACTGTTCGACGAAACATGGCGCCGCTCAGGGAAAGGAGGGAAACCCGGGGATGTACCCCCCCAGAGAGCTACTTGGACGCACCCCTATCGAGGATGGACGCCCTCTCCATCGTATATCCCAGTGTTGGGCCCAAATTTCTGGTCCATTCGAAACCGCACGAAGCCTGGGGTAGGGGTCGACATATCCCCTCTTAGTCACTCCTCTCTCCCTCCCCCCCCCCCCTTGGAGTGCAGCTCCCGAGAGGTTTAATGCGGCATTGGCGTCGGCGCTGGCTTATATCAGTGGCCGAGAACCAGCATCACCCCGCTGAATCAGCTCAATCTTGGGCTCAATCCAAGCTGATTCGGTTTGTGCTCCTTAATCGGGCTTAATCGCCCTGAACCGTTCTAACGAATACTTCCCAGACTTTGCCTCCGAATTCCCTCCCATTCCTCCTCGCTCCTCCTCAATCCTCACTCCTGCTCACTCCTCCTCACTCCTCCTCACTCCTCTCTCCTCCTCTCCTCCTCCTCCTCCTTCTCCTCCTCCTCGCTCCTCCTCCTCCTCCTCCTCCTCCTCCTCCTCCTCCTCCTCTCCTCTCCTCCTCCTCCTCCTCCTCCTCCTCCTCCTCCCCCTCCCCCTCCCCCCTCCCTCCCCTCCCTCCCCCTCCCCCTCCCTCTCCTCCTTCTCCTTCTCCTCCTCCTCTCCTCCTCTTCCTCCTCCTCCTCTTCCTCTCCTCCTCTTCCTCCTCCTCCTCCTCCGCCTCTTCTCCTCCTCCTCCTCCTCCTCTCCTCCTCCTCCTCCTCCTCCTCCTCCTCCTCCTCCCTCCTCCCCTCTCCCTCCTCCTCCTCCTCTCCTCCTCCTCCTTCCTCCCTCCGTCCTCTCCTCCTCCCCCTCCCCCTTCCCCCTCCTCCTCCTCGTCCTCCTCCTCCTCCTTCTCCTCCTCCTCCTCCTCCTCCTCCAAGCTCGGAGGCATTACTGGAGGTCAGTACGCGGGTTGTTATTCCAGAGTTCCAGGCTTTCGCCAAACAACGTATCATGAATGGCGTCGTTAGCTTCAAGCTGCACGATCAGCGGCACTTTTTCTTGACTAAGAACGGGGGCTTTCAGGGGTCATGTGAGATGCCCAAACAGTTCGTGGGGGTCTTTCACGATACGATCGAGGAGTTGAGATCGGACCCTACTTACACCCCCATCCTGGCGTACAGCGAAGTCCACACCGATGCAGTTGATTCACCTGGCATTGATGTCTCTATTTCGGGCTTTGCCGATGACATATTTCGCAAACGAGTTCTACCGTGCGGTTTAAACGTGCAGGAGGTTATTGAGGACATCGCAGAGAATGATACAATTATGAATCGGATTTTTACAAAGTGGTCTTTCTCACAGAACATGAGCAAGAAGGATATAGTCCCATACCTTGGCTCTACTCTACTTAATCGTCAACTACAAGATCTATGCCCCCCTACACATGGAATGGTTAAGGCACATGCGCGGCACTTAGGAGTACGATACACCATGAAGGGCAACAATAGTGTAGAGGTGGAGTTACGCATTCAGGGGATGAGGGGAGGATGGAGCATGATGGGGATGTTCTGGCATGAACGAGGACTGCGTAGGCTTAAGCGTGAACTGTTCCTGAGCACGGTGGTCGAAAAGGGCCTCACGGGGCTCGAGGCGTTTGTTCTGACTCCGTCGGAGCACGCGCGTATCGACACGATCATCGTTCGCTATCTCCGAGTTCTTATGAAAGGCTCGGCCACGGACTGGGGAGGCACACACGCAGTATCGTGGAGCAACGCCGAGCTCTTGCGTGACTGGCGTATCCTGCCGAGCGCAGGCGAACTTGCAGTCCGACGGGTTCGGTGGCTTCAGAGCATGGTACAGCACACATACGCACATGTCCAGACAGTATCTGTATTACTTGGTCATATTCTACACGAACCACCCGCACTTACCTCCTCGGGCGCGCTGAGTAGCACGGCTAACCCATGGCTTAGGCAGTTTGCACGAGACCTTGACTGGTATCGGGGAATCAGTGGCACGGAAACTTTCTTCGAGGTTTGGGAATCGGCAGGCTGTTCGTGGCATGAGTTGTTCAAGGTGAATTCGGACTCAGCGTATGAATTTCTTCAGCTCGATCCTGGCATCCTACGCATGGCGGTCTTCACGGATAAACAACATTGGGACCGCTTGTTTCCTAAAGTTGAACCTGATACTCACACCACCTCGGTCAAGGGTTCGTTCGTATGCAACATAACTGGCGCTGACCAACAGAGTTGTGGTCTCGACTTTCATACTTATCAGCAACTTCTAGCACATCAAACAGCTCATCACGGTATCCGCTCTATCCTAGCATCGGGTATTATTATGAATCAATGTCCAAACTGCTGCTCTGTATTTCGTGACGTCTCCACAACACAGCATCATCTCAAACGTGCGTATGCTAATGGTCGTTGCCAGCTGGGACGTGCCCACATGACGTGGGAGCTTCGAGTGCCATCATCGTTATCCTGCAAATTATGTGATCTACCACCATTTGGCTCAATCCCTGCATACCACGACCACCTCAGACGGGAGCACCTTCCCATTCCTCTCCCGCGGCTCGCACTTCCTCGACCCGCGCACCCTCGGCGAGCAGCGGATGCCAGCGACGCTCAGCCGGGCGGCGTCAGGAGCAGCAGCCTCGAGCGAGGCTCAACCCAGGGCGGTGCGCCCACGACCGGCAGCGGACGACGGCAAGAGGGAGGCGGGCCTTGTGCTGGCCCGCGGCTTCGCGAAGGGCGAGAAGCAGGCCTGGGGGCTGATGATGCGCCAGACCTTGCGCACCGCCCAGCAGATGAGGGAGATGCAGAGCGCCTTGCTAGACGTCTTCCTGGTACCAGAAGACGCGCAGATAGTGCTGGCCATGCAAGAACAAACATCCATGTACAGCGACGCGGTCAAGAACCAGAAGAACCACACCTTGGGCCCACCCCACATCTGGGCGATGGGCGGAATGCTCAAGACCTTCAAGAACGTCAACCCGAACGGCACGGACCAACCGATCACTATGACACGCGAACTTCACGCAGAGATTGTGAAAGCCCACGACGAGTACGCAGAGTACCCAGTGGAGAAAAAGTGCGACCTGGTCTTGATCTGCAAAGTGGAGAAGGTTTTCCAGAGGGGGAAGAAACAAATCACGCTGTGCCTCCGCAACCCGCAGTTCCGCGAGATGATCCTGAGCGCCTGCAAGGGCATCGACCAGATGGAGTTGAAGCAGGGGCGTGCACCGAGCAGTCATTTAGAGAGGGAGCTTCAGACGCTCCTGGAGACCATGGAGGGCCAGTGAGACTTGCGGCCCGCACACGAGAGCTGGCCAGTCGCCACGGTGGCCTGCCTGATGACCGTCCTCGGGAAGTCATTGAGTTCTGGGACGGCCAGATCAGTGAATTATCACAAGTTTTTGGAGCAGATTTTACAGCTGCGAATGTTGATCGGACAGCAGGCAGGACACCAGGTTTACCTCTGCTGGATGGGGGCACAGATCGAGCAATATTCCGAGCCCGCCGATTGGAAGCCTCTGAATCTGAATTACGCCAGAGCACTCCTCCTTCATCCAGGCTCCGTGTTGTAACAGATTATCTTGCATCCAGAAATATTATGCCAGGAACACCACAGTTTCGAGCCATGAGTGGCAGTGAGAGGGTTTTCGAGCTCGCAAAACAATGGAAAGCACAATAACTTTTTACCCAGGCTCTTTTGGACCAGCACCCTCCCCTCGCTGCTTTGCTCTTCTGCTTCCCCTTGTCGTCGTCGTTCTCTCCCCTGCTCTCCCTCTCTTCTGGCTCCGTGGCCTCTCTCCCTCTGTCTCCCCCCCGCCTCCGCGGGTTCCTCTTGCTTGTCGTCGTTCGTCTTCTCCCCCCTCCTCCGCCTCCGTGTCGTTCGTCTTCTCTTTCCTTCTTGGGGGTGCTGGGCCCTCTGGGAAAATCGGGAAGCCCCCCACGGTCCCCTCACACGTCGGTGACCGCGGGGACCGCGTCTTGGGAGCGTGATGCTCCCGTGAGACGCCGTCCCGTCGCCTCGAGGCCTAGCCCGCAGGCGCGTTCCTGAAGCCATCAGGCTCACCGCTCCAGTTCGAGTTGCAGGAGGCCACCGCGTGCTTCCCTTCTCGCTTTTGTGCCATTCGCCCTGCCCAGAGCATGAGGCAAGTCCAGGATGGAGCCCATGGTGTGCGATCGATCGATCGATCTTCCTCCTCCTCCTCTTCCTCCTCCTCCTCCTCCGCCTCTTCCTCCTCCTCCTCCTCCTCCTCCTCCTCCTCCTCCTCCTCCTCCTCCTCCTCCTCCTCCTCCTCCTCCCCCTCCTCCTCCTCCTCCTCCTCCTCCTCTTCCTCCTCCTCCTCCTCCTCAGTCCTCCTCGTCCTCCTCCCCCTCCTCCCCTTCTTGCCCCTCCCTCTCCTCCTCCTCTTCCTCCTCCTCCTCACTTTTCGCTCCCCCCTTCCTCACCCTTCCGTCCTCTGGCACGGCTCCACGGTCCCCGCGTGCAGACCTCCCTCCCGCCCCCCTCCCCCCTCCGCGGAGGTGGCGCGCCGGCGCGCGCTGGCGCTGTTCATGTGCACCTACAGCTTCGCCATCGTGGGGCGGCGGGGGCCGCCGCCCTGAGGTCCGGGCGCTGCGAGAGGCCGGCCCAAGACATCCAACGTACCCATCGGTCGTTGAAAGTAGGTATTTTTGGATTTCCAGTTCCCAATCTAATTCAGCCGCCTTCCTGCTTGAAGAGTCGAGTGGTTCGAGTGGGTTTCCCTCTTCTTCCTCGTCAGGAGGCGGGTGGAAGCCCAATCTACTTCCAACGCCTTCCTACTTCATGGTTCTAACTACTTCTTCCAACCACTGGGTAGAGCCAGGACGCTGAAGTAAGGAACAGTTTGTGTTCGGAAGGAGCTCGGTCCCCCTTCCCTGAGTTCTTGGCGACGCAATTGTTTCGAGTCGGGCGTTGTCGCATGGCTTCGTGCCACGGGACCCTCACGGATCGATCCGCTTCGAAACATGACGCCGAAAGATGGGGTCTAATTAGGGCTCTGGTCTCGATTGTTCAATATGTTTCAATTAATTCGACACTTCGGATCTCGGGGTGGGGTCATTCCGTGGTTGTTCCTCTAGCCCTCCTCGAGCACCCAGGCACATCTGGTGCCAAAAAGGGCCCTCGTGCCTCATATAGCGTTCGTTCCTTACTGCAGCAGCCCGACTGCATTACTGTAAAAATCGAGACTAGTTTTCACGGTTTTCGGCATCCGACGGCCCTGGCCCAGCCCCAAAGCCAAATAGAAAACGACCCGAGGCGAAAGTTGGGTAGGGGGTTCCGCGACTTCGTGTTGGAAACAACATCGGGCTTCGTGGGTGTTTCCTCAGTGTTCGGCAAGTTTACTTGCATGGATGGGGGGGCGGTGTGAGGACGCCGGAAGGAAACCTAGGCTTCGCGCAACTCGGGACTCTCCTCGCGCAAGTTTGACAAGGCGGCGGAGGGGGTTGGGGGTAGGGTGGGGTGGAGGGGGGAGGGGGGGCAAATGCAATGCGAGTAAATTTGCCTGAGTCTATTGGTAATTGCCTTGCATGCTTTTCACGCTGGACGTTTTCGACAGGTTTTCTGGCCCCGGGGCCCTCACATATCGACCCAGCTCGAGAGATGCCGCAGCGAGATTGGTGTAGGGCTCTGGTGATGATTTTCCCCCAATGGTTTCAAGTCTTTCGCGACCTCGGATCTCAGGGAACAGCGGGGACGGCGCTGGTCACCTTCGGGGGCCTTTCCCTTCCCTCCCCCTCCCCCTCCTACTCCTCCTCCTTCTCCTCCTCCCCCACCTCCTCCTCCTCCCTCTCCTCCTCCTCCTCCTCCTCCTCCCCCTCCTCATTCACCTCCTCCGCCTCCTCCTCCTTCTCCTCCTCCTCCCCCTGTTCCTCCTCCTCTCCTCCTCGCCTCATCCTTCTCCTCCTCCTTCTCCTCCCCCTCCTCCCCCTCCTACTCCCTTCCACCCTCCTTCTCCCTCCCCCTCCACAATTACGCAATATGACTACTACTCTCCTCTCTCCCCTGACTCTATCCGGAGAGCGTCCCATCGACTCCGCGTACTGTTTCTTACACTGGATTTCATTGCTTTGTTGTTTCCTCTGTGTGTTTTTTCAATCAGGTCGTTTCCGGTTCTTCCAAAATAGTGCTTCCGTTGCAGCGCATTTCCGCGCTTCGGTCATTCAAAATCGTGCTCCCGCTGCAGCGTTGGCCTCGTTCCCGCGCCTCCAATTGTTCCAACTCGCGCTCCCGCAGCAGCACTGGCGCGTTCGGTCCTTCCAACTAGCGATGTCGCTGTAGCGCTGGCCTCGTTCCAGGGTTTCGGTCCTTCCAAATCGTGCTCCTGCTGCAGCGGTTGCCTTATTCCCGTTTTGGGTCCTGGCCTCGTTCTCGCGCTCCTGTCCTCCTAAATCGTGCTCCCGTTGCAGCGCTGGTCGCATTTCCGTCGGTGCACCGCTGTGCGATGCCATGCTTTGCGTTGCTATGCTGTGTGATGCAATGCTTCACTACGCAATGCCACGCCATGCTATGACATGCTATGCTCTGCCGTGCTCTTCTACGCCTTGCTTTTCCATCCATCGCGTACCCTCTTGAATTATCACCATGTTCGACATCGGATTGTGCGAAGAGATAGGAGATCTAAGCCATGGTAAGGGATGGGAGGGAGGTGTAGGACGTCAGATGTGACGCTGGCGCACCTAGCTTGTCCTCGCCCCTCCTCTTTCTCATCGTCTTCCTCCTCAGCCTCCCCCCTCCACCTCCTCCCCTCCCCTCCTTCTTCACTTCTCCTCGTCCTTCTCCCTTGCCTCCTCCTCACCCTCCCTCCGGGCAGGGGAGGAGGGTGGGGAGGAGGAGGAGGAGGAGGATGAGCAGGAGGAGGAGGGGGGTATGGGGGGGAACGAGGATGAGAGCTGCAGGATGATGATGATGATGATGATGATGATGATGATGATGATGATGATGGTGGTGGTGGTGGTGATGAGGATGAGGATGAGGATGAGGATGAGGATGAGGATGATGATGATGGTGATGGTGATGGTGATGGTGATGGTGATGGTGATGATGATGCTGATGCTGATGCTGATGCTGATGCTGATGCTGATGATGACGATGACGATGTTGAGGATGTTGATGATGATGAGGATTATGATGATGCTGATGCTGATGCTGATGATGATGATGATTACGATGCTGATGATGATGACGATGATGATGCTGATGATGATGCTGATGCTGCTGATGATGATGATGATGACGATGACGACGACGACTACGATGATGATGCTGCTTATGCTGATGATGCTGATGATTATGATGATGGTGGTGGTGATGATGGTGATGACGATGCTGATGATGATGATGATGATGATGATAATAATGATGATGCTGCTGATGATGATGATGATGATGATGATGATGATGCTGCTGCTGATTTTGATGGTGATGATGATGATGACGACGATGACGATGACGATGACGATGACGATGAGGAGCAGAAGACGGAGGGATCAAGATGTGGAGGAGGAGGAGGAGGAGGAGGAGGATAACGAGAAGGAGAAGGAGAAGGAGAAGGATGACGAGGAGGAGGAGAAGGAAGACGAGGAGAAGGATGAGGCAGAACAGGTTGTGGAGGAGCAGGAGGAGGAATAATAGAAGGGGTGAGGAATAAGAAGAGGAGGAGGAGCAGGAGGAGAAGGAGGAGGAGGAGGAGGAGGAGGACGAGGACGAGGAGGAGGGAGAGGGTTTTGGCAGGCGCTGTGAGCATCACTGGATCGCAGTCTGTGAGTCGTCAAAAAGAGGAGTATGGGCAATTGCTCAGTGGGCCCTGTAAACGACTAGGCCGTTTTTTACCAATTTCGTTTCGCAGGTGTTGTGCCGGCTTGACGCACTTCTTGTCCCGGTTCCGTCGCCTTCATTTGTCGATTCTGGTTCCACTTCCGATCTTGGAGCCGTTCTTTCCTTTGTTTTTGAAGGGCCGTGCACTTGTTTGAATAGTCTGCATGTTCCAGAGCAGTTTTCTGAAAACGGCGCAAACAAATGCTCTCCCGTTTCTGGGGCGAAGCCGGGGCTCGCCAGGGATTGGTCGCCCCGCCTCCAGTACAGGGGGTGGATGGGGGAGAGGGAGGAGGAGAGCCGCAGGATGGGATGATGAGGAGGACGAGAAGACGGGGGAGGAGGAGGAGGAGGAGGAGGAGGAGGAGGAGGAGGAGGAGGAGGAGGACGAGGACGAGGAGGAGGAGGAGAAGGACGAGGAGGAGGAGGAGGAGGAGGAGGAGGAGGGAGGAGGAGGAGGAGGAGGAGGGGGGGGGACATGATGGAGAGGGGGGAGGAGAGCCGCAGGTTGAGGAGGAGGACGAGAAGGACGGGGGAGGAGGAGAAGGACGAGGAGGAGAGGAGGAGGAGGAGGAGGAGGAGGGAGGAGGAGGGGGGGACATGATGGAGAGGGGGGAGGAGAGCCGCAGGTTGAGGAGGAGGACGAGAAGGACGAGGGAGGAGGAGGAGGGAGGAGGAGGAGGAGGAGGAGGAGAGGAGGAGGGAGGAGGAGGCAGGGAGCAGGAGGCGGAGGAGGCGGAGGGGTAGCCCGGGGGTCACCACGCGCGCCCCCCGCGGGCCCCTCGCCGCCCCGCCGCGTCGGCGCCGCCGTGCCGCTGCTGGCGCGCTCGGCGCTGCAGGCCGGTTGCGTCGTCGTCGTCGTCGCTTCTCCTCCTCCCTCCTCCTCCCCTCCTCCTCCTCCTCCTCCTCCTCCTCCTCCTCCTCCCCCCCCCTCCTCCTCCTCCTCCTCCTCCTCCTCCTCCTCCTCCTCCTCCTCCTCCTCCAGCAGGCACGAGGGGGAGCAGCTTTGAGGTGCTGGGTTCGAGAGGGTTTTGCTTCCTTGTTTCTGCTTCCAGGGGCCGTCCTCGTGCCCCGGGGCCGTCAAATATTTTCCGAAGTTCGGGGGCGGAAAAGAGGGGGGTGATGACTAGGGGGGGGTGGATATCATGGCGGGGGCCATGATATTTCCCCAGATTTCATGGCGCCCCTTCTTATTTCATTATGTCCCCGGCCCCCCCGCTGGGCCGCGCACATGCCGCCCGTCATGATTTGCACCCCCCCCTCTTGGACACCCCCCTCTTTGCCGCCCCCGAATTTCCGACGGTTTGGTTTTTTGGTACCGGCGATCTTTCCTCGATCTCGGTCCTCTACACTCAGGTCGGGCATGTCCTCCTGCAAGCGGATTTTGGGGAGGAAGGACGAAACGTATGCGTGCCCGGGGCTGTCCAAAGTGGGTCCGGGGCGAAGATCTGCGTCCAGGGAGACGGTCGGGTCATGTGAAGGCTCGGATGGAAAACGTCGCATCGGCGGGCGTCAGGCTCCCCCCTGCCTCCCACGGTCGTGAAAGATCAAGACGAAGGTTTTTCTCCGTTTTCGGCCGGAGGAGGTCCTCGCGGGGGCCCGGGGCCGTCAAATAACATTTCAGGGTGAAAAGCCTGCTAGCTGGGGAAAGGGTCGGGACTTCCCGGGACCCCGTGTAGAATACTACGGGAGATTTTTGGGAATGAGCTCCGAGTAGATGGGGTTGAAAGCTCGCGCCGCATCGCCGAAGCCACGGCGTTTCGGCTCGGCGTAGGGCTCAGTTTCCTCCACGCCGACGTCGCCGATGCATCGCCGACGTCGCCGATGCATCGCTGATGTGCCCGCAATGTGTCGACGATGCGCTGCGATCCTCCGAGCCCATGTGCTCGGAACAACTTTGGGGAGGTCTCCATCCCCTCGTCGCTGAAAAACCGACGAGAGTTTTTTCTCAGGTTTCGGCCTCCAGGGGCCCTCGCCAAGCCCCGGGGCCGTCAACAAAGAACTTGGGATGAGAGGCTGGTCCCAGGGAACATATCACGCCTTTGGATGCAAACAAAAGTGACCACGACGTCGTATATCTGGGTCCTCGTCGTAGGTTCTGCGTCGTCGTCTCGCTTACGGTCAGGAATTTTGTCTTAGCGTGTCGCTCCGTCAGTTCTGGTCCACCACGCTTAGGTGCGACACGCTATCTACTTCCCGTGCCCCCAGCGTGAACGCCCCGAGCTCTTGCGAGCTGCCCGCCCCTCGGAGCGACGCGGCACGCTATCCGCTCGCAGAGCATCGCGTGTCGCCAGGATCGCCGCCGCCGCGACACGCGATGCAACGATTCCTGATCGTAGGAGGGGGCACTGGGATCGCCGTCGCCTTCTGCGTAGGCGTTGTCGTCGTCGTCGTCGTCGTCGTCGTCGTCGTCGTCGTTGTGGCCGTCGTCGTCGTCGTCGTCGTCGTCGTCGTCGTCGTCGTCGTCGTCATCATCGTCGTTGAGGTCGTCCTCGTCGTCGTCGTCATCGTCGGCGGTAGGAGCGGGGAATGGGAACGAGGGGGTAGGAAGAGGGGCGAGGAGAGGAGATGAGGGCAGAGAAGAGCAGAGAAGCATGAGGAGCAGCAGGAGGTTGATGGGACGACGGAGGTGGGAGGGAGGAGAGAGGGAGGAGGGAAAAGTGCCAGAAGGAGATAGGATCAGATGGGGCAGACGAGTAGGGAGGATAAGGGGGGACCCTCCTTGTCCTCCCTCGTCTGCCCTCCTGATCCTGCCTCCTCGTCTGCCCTCCTGTAGTATCAGAACATATCTATCTCTACCCTTACGTACAGTATGCTAATCGTAACTGCGATTCCCCCATTCACCCATGAGCCCTGCCTCGTCATCGTCCTCTATTCTCGCCCACCCTCACAGAGGGTGGACGAGGGGGGACGACAAGGAAGCGGGATCGGGAGGAGGGAGGAAGAGGGGAGGGAGGAGGAAGGAGCGAGGCGGGAGGATTGAGGAGGGGGGAGGCGGGAGGCGGGAGTAGGGTAAAGGAAAGAGTACAGGAGGTGGGGGAGTAGGGTACGGTAGGTTCGTGTCGACCAACGGCAACCCCGCCGCCGGCGTTCAACGTTGAACGCCGCCAGCGATCCAGAATCGGTCGATGTTGAACGATCGGACGTTTGGTAAGCTACCGATCGTTCAGCGTTGAGCGCTTCCCGCGGTGTTTCAGGCGGTCGCAAACATGAACTAAGGGGGCGTGGATTAGCGACGGGTCCCGTTTCCATGGGAAATCGAGGATTTCCGCCGCCGAGCGAGACGGCGCCGGCCACATTTTGGGGAGGGCACCTCCCCCGATCCGTGGATTTGGCGACCGCGCGCCAAATCCATGGATCGCTAATCCATGTTTGCGCGCCCCCGAGTGTTAGGGACCAACGCCAGGATCGTCACGACACGAACCTGCCGCAGGGTGAGGGGAAGGGTGCATGATGTGCGGGGGAGTAAAATAGGAAGCGTGGGGGTGCAGACGCGTGACGTTTTTTTTGACTATTCCCCTAGAGGCCTTTGACGAAGACGGCGTCTTTGGGGGGGCACACCGTCGGGCGCCTCTTGCACTGATGCCTGTGGCCGGGGCAGACATGAACCGATATCCGGGACTTGCGCATTTGCACAACGGGCGTCTCGCAGCGAAGCCGTCTGGGGGTCTGAGGTGGCCCAACACTGGCTCGAGCCAGCAGGAAGGGCTAGCAGGTTCGAAGTTCTGGGTTCGGAAAGTTCTTTCTTTTTTGTCTGTCTCCCGGGCCCGTTTTCAGGCCCCAGGTTTGTGAACAACGGATGCCATGCGGGGTGAAAAATTGCACCAGATGGACCCGATGATGGGTTTGGGGACCAATGTTGCGCGGATTTGACATCCTCCCCCTCCTGACTGATTTTCTGGGCCTCAACCAGTTCAGATCCCCGGCTGCCTCCAACGCGGAGCCGGTTACAGCATGGGGCTGGACGGGGTTGGCCACTCTCTGGTTCGCACTGCAGTCATGGATAGCCGACGCGTCGAACCCTGGTGGTCACGCTCCTCCCTCCACCTCAGAAAATCAAGCATGGGGTACTCCAAGCATCAGCCGACTGCCACCACGCTGCAACATCTCGTAGGATCCTGGCCCTGTACGAGGGAGCTACCAGGTCCCAACGACATTCGCTTATAAAAGATTCGATGGATCAGGGAATGTGCTGTTGCGCTGTGCCGTGCACGCTCGATGCATGCAGCGGCGTACGGCGGCTTGGTGGCACGAGGAGGGCAGGTGAGCTCAGATTGTTTGGAGGAGAAGGAGGAGGAGGAGCACGAAAGCAAAGACGACGGCGTCCACAACGACGAAAACGGTGGCGACGACAACGGAGAAAACGACGACGACGACGACGACGACGACCGCACGCACTCCTGCGCGCCTTGCAGTATGCACGCGCGCGGGGAGGAGGAGGAGGAGGAGGAGGAGGAGGAGCAGGAGGAGCAGGAGGAGGATACTAAGAAGAAGAAGAAGAGGAGGATGAGGAGGAATAATAGTAATACGACTAGCAATAATACGAAGACGAAGACTAATGATAAGACGAATAAGAAGACGGATATTACGAATCATATTATTACTACTACGACTACAACTACAACTACAACTACTACTACTACTACTACTGCTACTACTACAACTACAACAACTACTACTACTCCTACTACTACTACTACGACTACTACTACAACTACTACTACTTCTACTACTACTACTACTACTACTACTACTACTACTACTACTACTTCTACTACTACTACTACTACTACGACTATTACTACTACTACTACTACTACTACTACTGTGACGACTACTACTACTACTACTACTTCTACTACTACTACTACTACTACTACTTTCGTACTACTACTACTACTACTACTACTACTACTACTACTGCTACTACTACTACTACTACTACTACTGCTACTACTACTACTACTACTACTACTACCTACTACTACTACTACTGCTACTACTACTTACTACTGCTACTACTACTACTACTACTGCTACTACTACTACTACTACTACTACTGCTGCTGCTGCTACTACTACTACTACTACGACTACTACTACTACTACGACTACTACTACTACCACCACTACTACTACTACTTCTACTACTACTACTACTACTACTACTTCTACTACTACTACTACTGCTACTACTACTACTACTACTACTACTGCTACTACTACTACTACTACTACCACTACCACTAACATACCACTACCACTACCACTACTACTACTATACTACTACTACTACTACTACTACTACTACTACTACTACTACTACTACTACTACTACTACTACTACTGCTACTACTACTACTACTACTACTACTACTACTACTACTACTACTACGACTACGACTACGACGGCGACGACGACGACCACGACGACGACGACGACTACTACGACCACGACTACGACTACGATTACTACTACTACTAATAATACTGCAAATAAGACGAATGCGAATAAGACGGCGAATGCGAATAGTATTAATAATACTAAGCACAACAAGAAGACCATCATTAATGATACGAATACTCGTAATAGCAAGGAAAAGAAGACCAACCATATCAACAATACACATACTAATAAGCATACTCGTAAGCATAAGAAGGATGTTAGTAATAAAAAGACGAGTGAGGATCCTAAGAAGAAGACTAAGAAGAAACATACTAATAAGAGAGGAGAGGAGGAGGAGGAGGAGGAGGAGGAGGAGGAGGAGGAGGAGGAGGAGAGGAGGAGGAGGAGGAGGAGGGAGGAGGAGGAGGAGGAGGAGGAGGAGGAGGAGGAGGAGGAGGGAGGAGGAGGAGGAGGGAGGAGAGGAGGAGGAGGAGGAGGAGGAGGAGGAGGAGGAGGAGGAGGAGAGGAGGAGGAGGAGGAGGAGGAGAGGAGGGAAGACGAGGAGGAGACGGAGGAGGGAGGAGGGAGGGAGGGGGGGAGGGAGTGATGGAGGGAGGGAGGGAGGGGGAGGAGGAGAAGGATGAGACACCATTCAGGGGCCTTGGAAGGCGGGGACGGCTACAAGGACTCCACGACGTGGAGAGGCGGGGGCGAGCGCTCTGGACAAGCAAATGGTCCTGAGTCAGGGTTCCTCCTCCTCCTCGTCCTCATTCTTCTCCTCCTCCTCCTCCTCCTCCTCCTCCTCCTCCTCCTCCTCCTCCTCCTCCTCCTCCCCCGGGTTCCGTCAGGACTGGGGCAACTTTTACGCCATCGTGTCCCTCTGGCAGCGCTACGGGCTCGACTGGCCAGCGGAGAGGAGCCAGGCGACCCTCTGCCCCCCGCGCGTGCGCGTGTGCGAGTCTGCGCTTGATGCCCCGCGCCAGCCGGGACACATTACCATGCGCACGCGCGCGTGTCTGACTACGGTAGGTTCGCGTCGTGTCGATTGGCGGCGACCCCGCTTTCAGCGTTCAACGTTGAACGCCGCCGGCGACCCTTAGCTTCGACGTTGAACGATCTGACGATTCCGGAAACGGCAAATCGTTCAAGTTTGAACGATCCCCGCGGTGTTCGGAACCAACGCCGGGGTCGACACGACGCGAACCTGCCGCACGTGACTGGTCTGTGGGCGCGCGCACGCGCGCGTTTACGTGCTTGCGTGCGCGCAGGAGTTCGCGCTTCTCTCGGCGTGCGGGGCCTCGTGGGCAGGACACGCACCCATGTCCACGGCCTCACGGGCCGGGCCCCCGGGCCGCGACCTCATGGATGCAGGGCGCTGTTTCGCGCACACCGCGTTGACGCGACAGCGTGTCTACGGGATCGCGCCCCGGAGTCAGGACCGCGAGGGCGCGGATGCGGATCTGCTCGCCGCTCGCGATCTCTGTCGGCGGCGGCCTCGAGCGCACGCGCTGGCGGTTGCACTGGCCCCATGTGCGCCACGCAAGTCTCAGGCTCGCCATGGCCAGCTTCACTCCACTCCGCCACTTGAGCCACACAAGAAAACGGGTTCGTTTTCGCCGACATTGTCGCGTAAGCTGCCCGCGTAAGGTCGCGCGTAATAACCGTCGTCTCCAGGGTGGCGTGACACGCTGGCGGCCCGCGCAAGCTGCGGCTTAAGGTTGCTATGCCATCTCGCGTAAGACCAGTTTTCGATCGTCGCTTCCGAGTGTCTCCGACCTGCCCTCACGCGTGGGTGCCAGGCAGGTCGAGGCGGCTACGACTCGGAGGACGCGGAGCACCTCCACCCGAGCCTGGCCAGGCCGATCTTGGGCCCCAGGATCGATGCGCTTCTATGCCGCCCTGCCCAGGCTAGGAGTGCGTACCGTGGACCGATCCTGGGCCCAAGGCGGGCCTGGCCAGACTCTGTGTAGGTGTGCGCCTGGCGCTCTCCCAACGACGGTCTTGCTCGTCGGCCAGGGCGGTTTTGTTTCATCGACGACACAGGAAACCCTAACCCGAAAAACACAATGAAGACGTGGCCTCCCTTAGGCCCCCGTCTTCGAGTGAGGGGCAAGCAATCTGGGCGGTTTGGTCGGCCACATCCGCAGAAAGAAAGACCCCCTGTCCCTGATGTGCTCGGCCCTCCTAACGTAGGTCCCCTCCCATGGGGTTAGGGGTACTTGTGTTGCTCACCATTGTTTTGGCCTCACTGGATGCGCCTCGCGCAGCGCTCCGTTTTCCCACGTGCTGTCGATGCTTCTGGGCCGGCGCAGCACGCAGCGCCGTGGCCCGTGCACCGAGCGCGCCCGCCGCCGCCGCCCGCCGCTTCGCACGCGCCCGCCCCGCGCTCGCCGCCCCGAGCCACCACCTGTAGGTCGGGCACGTCCGTGAAGTGTAGGAGTCTGGTGACGATGGTTCGTGCTCTGTTGGCTAGGTCTCGAGTCGGGTTTGCTCTTCCTCCGAGATCCGCCCGGAGGAGGACGTGCCGTACCTCACACAGTTTTCTGGGCGCTCCTGAGACAGTGACGCCAGCGCCACCAGCAACCCGTGCGCGCGTGCGGATGCGCGCGCATGGCGACAAGTGCGGACGCACCTTCGTTGAAGCTCTGCACCGTGCACGCCCCCGCGTCCGGCACATGCGTACGAAGTCATCGTGGCCCGAGCGTGCCCCGCCGCCTGCTGCCGCCAGGCTCCCCGCCTGCCTCCTCCCCTCTCCTCGCGCGCCCCGCTTGCCACGGGTGCGTCCCGCCGCATGCGCGCGGCGTGTGCGTCCGCGCGCGCAGCTCCCGCCGTCTGCCTCGTGTCGGGCTGTCTGCCTGCTGCTCTCGCCCTCCCTCGGAGTGCCGTGGCACGTTCGCGCCGCGCTGAGCTCCTGCTTCTCGCACTGGCGCACCTCCGCCTGCCGCCACTCTCTCCCCCTCTCCCCCTCGCCCCCTCCCCTCGCGGCCCACCGCGAGTGACCGGGCGGATCCCTGCCGCGCCCGCTCTGGTCCGGCCGCGCCCCATTATGATAGCGTATCGCTCTGTCTTTTCTGGCCCACCGCGCTTCGGCGCGATACGGCATCCTCTCCCCAGTCCCCAGGCGTCAATGTCCTGAGCTGTTCCCAGCCTCCCGGCCCGCGGAGCGGAGCGACGCGCAATTCGCTCGCAAGGCACAGCGTATCGCCGGGGCCGCCGCCGCCACACGCTATGCAACAGTTCCTGACCGTAGATCGGCCACGCGTAAGAGTGGCCTTCCGCCGGAGTGGCCCTTGGTGCGGGCCCGCATGGGGATCCCCGAGCACTGGGCCGCGCGCGTGGAGCTGGGCCCCCCGGCGGCCCCCTAAAGCCGCACACCAGAGGTCACTCTTGACTATGATCATTTTCGCGTGTAGCCGATTAGAGGAGGGAAAGGTACCGACACCGCCACCCTTGCCTCGTTTCCGCCTTTCTGGGCCTCCTGGGATGCCCTCGTCGCCACCGCTGGATTCGCCTCGAAATTCTGGTCAGAACGCGCCCCGGGAGAGGTCCGGGGAGTAGCAGCATGGGTACCTCCTTCGTTTTCCCAGGGGCGGGGCACTCTCAACCCGACGATACTCATCCACTGCGTGTTTTTTTTAGGAGAGGGGAAGTTTCGACCTCCGTTGGCGTTCACTTGGCCCCGAGAGCGCCAGAAAATGACTCAGGATGAAAGTCTGGTCCTGGGGAAGGGGTCCAGATCTCCAGGGGTCCACGTCATGAAAAAGGCACGCCGTCGGAGTTCTGGGATCGTCCTCCTTCTCCTCCTCCACGTGCTTCTCGTCATCGTCCGTAGCCATTTTTGGCTCAAGCCATTGTGGCTCAAGTTTGGCGCAAGCACGTCATTATTTGAGTCATTCGTTTCTGCGGCACTCCAATATTTAGGTGTCTTTGCTTTATTGCGGCGTTATGCTTATGCATCGGGGAGTACGATCAGCATATTTCATTCTGTACGGACTGGTAATGGGGGAAGAGTAAGTCGAAATCGAATGGCGCAACTGTTGTAATTCACGTTGGACCCCACAAGACCGCTACGACAACAGTTCAACGGGAGTTGTCTCACCGGGCGTCCCTGCTGGAAGAAGACGGTTGGACATTCCTGCGCCCTAGACAATTCGGAAGTTTGAAAAAAGTGCATAATGAGGTTCAAGTCGCTAACGTAGCTTCGTGCTATAGCGAGAAGGGAGTTCAATGGGCTGTAAATCAAGCCCGAACTTGTTTGGATTGGCTAGAGTACATTGACAAGCTCAGGGGTACCTCCCATCACGTGGTGATGTCAAGTGAGATTTTCTCCACATGGCCATGCCATATCGCGCAGCTCGCCTCTGATTTAAGGCACGTCGCTACTAAAATCGTCGTGGTTTATCGACCTTTCTACGAATGGATCGCAAGCGTCTACCGGGAAAGAAATGCAAAAACAATTTCAAAAGCAGGTTTCGCTTCTTGGTTGACCGATTCAGTAATGGAGGAGTGGGCAGCAAATCGTTCTTCGACGTCAGTGTACAGTAGATACGCGGCCCATTTTTCTGACGTAGTGATGCACAGCTTGGACTCCTCTCTTTTGGCAAATATTGCGTGCGATGACCTTGGAGCTCCGAGGGCTTGTGCTTGGTTCCAGGGAGCAAAGGTGAGAAACGCCAACGTCAAACGAAAAGAAGATTCAACAGGTGAATGTCTCAGCCCTGCACAGCGGCAAACAATGGAAACCATATCAATTGATCTTCATCGGACGGCCTTTGGCATATTTGTACCTTTTCCGGCTTCCGATTTCCATGACCAGCTTTCCAATTGTTTCGGCAACCGTTGAGCTAAAGTTTGGAGAGTCACGCCAGCAAAAGTCCGATGATACTGCACTCACGCAGCTGAATCGCAGTCTGCGCGTGCCCGGCCACGGGCCATTTGCTAGTATCTGCCCGGACACGGGCCTCTATTGTGATTGCATGATTTGATGCCTGAAGCATCCTTTATACATATAACGGCGCACCGGGTCCGGGGGCCCGGGGCCGGGACCCCGACCGCAAATGTGGGCTCCGGGGGGCCCGGAGGCTCGCCGGGGCTTGCCGGAGGCCTCCCCCGTCAGACAAGACGGCCCCAGGAGCGCCCAAGACGGCCCAAGAAACGTCCAAGAGGCCTCCAAGAGGGCTCCGAGATGCTGAAGATGGCCTCCAGACGTCCAAGGACGCCCCCAAAAGGCCCCAAGAAGCCTCCAACATGCGTCCCAAGAGTGCCCCTAGACGCAAACATTGGCCCATTCCCTTCGTAAAACGTACATTTTTCACAAAGTTGTCTTTTGGGCTTTCCGACGTTACATGACGGCCCAAGAGGCGCCCAAGACCGCCCCAAGACGGCCAAAGAAGCTTCCAAGAGGGCCCCAGGACAGCCCAAGAGGGCTCCAAGACGGCCCAACCCAGAGGGGGACCACGAACCGCAAGCTCGAGCCTTCCGCCCCAAAAGGCCGCCAGGACGCCCCAAGGAGGCCCCTCAAGAGGCCCCAGGAGACCCCAGACGTCCAAGGACGCCCCCAAGACGCCCCAAGAAGCCTCCAACATGCGTCCCAAGAGGGCCCCTAGACGCACAAATTGACCCATTCCCTTCGTAAAACGTACATTTTCAACAAAGTCGCCTTTTGGGCTTTCCGACGTTACAGGACGGCCCAAGAGGCGCCCAAGACCGCCCCAAGACGGCCCAAGAAGCTTCCAAGAGGGCCCCAGGACAGCCCAAGAGGGCCCCAAGACGGCCCAAGAGGCGCCCAAGATGGCCCAAGAGGGCCCCAAGACGGGCCCAAGAGGGGGCCCAGAGGGGGACCACGAACCGCAAGCTCGAGCCTTCCGCCCCAAGAGGCCGCCAGGAGGCCCCCAGGAGGCCCCTCAAGAGGCCCCAGGAGACCCCAGACGTCCAAGGACGCCCCCAAGACGCCCCAAGAAGCCTCCAACATGCGTCCCAAGAGGGCCCCTAGACGCAAAAATTGGCCCATTCCCTTCGTAAAACGTACATTTTTCAACAAAGTCGCCTTTTGGGCTTTCCGACGTTACAGGACGGCCCAAGAGGCGCCCAAGACCGCCCCAAGACGGCCCAAGAAGCTTCCAAGAGGGCCCCAGGACAGCCCAAGAGGGCCCCAAGACGGCCCAAGAGGCGCCCAAGATGGCCCAAGAGGGCCCCAAGACGGGCCCAAGAGGGGGCCCAGAGGGGGACCACGAACCGCAAGCTCGAGCCTTCCGCTCCAAGAGGCCGCCAGGAGGCCCCAAGGAGGCCCCTCAAGAGGCCCCAGGAGACCCCCAAGAGGCCCAAAGGAGGCCCCGAGAAGCCCCAAATCGGCCCCCAAAATGCTTCGAACCTGCTTCCAGGAAGCCCCCGACAGGTTCAGAGGCTCCCGAGAAGCTACGTCAAACTCCCAGCGAGCGACGGGACGAGGCCCCCCACAAAATCACAAGAGGCTCCACAGGCGGCCCAAGAGAGCCCCAAGATGGGCCCGAGAGGGATTCCACGCAAGTTGTTATTGTATGGCTCGGGAAAGGACGAGGATGAGGAGGAAGACGAGGAGGAGGAGGAGGAGAAGGAGGAGGAGGAGGAGGAGGAGGAGGAGGAGGAGGAGGAGGAGGAGGAGAGGGAGGAGGAGGAAGAGGAGGAGCAGGAAAAGGAGGAGGAGGCGTGCTGTGGACACAAAGAGCAGCGAGGGGGCCACGAAGGGCTGCAACGGGGCCACGAAACAAAGCGAGGGGGACCACGAAGGGCTGCAACGGGGCCACGAAGGACAGCGAGATCCCGATTCTTATATATATATATATATATATATATATTCCTTTTCCCTATCAAAATATAAGGGACCCCCCCCCCGGATGGGCGTCACCTAATTCGCCCCCCCGGAAGAGCTCTGAACGGGCTCACGACAGCTCCGACAATGCCCGAAATTACCCCCAAGCTGGTCCGACCGGCCCACATTCCGCTCTATGATGCCCCAGTTGCTCCTACGAAGGCCCACGAGGCCTCCAAGACGCCCCAAGAGGCCTCCGAGAGCCTTCCCAAGAGAGCCCCAACAGGCAAAATTCATTGATTTCCAATGGTCTTCGACGATTCTTGGATTTACGCGTTTGCCACACCCGCCTCTCCAAAACGGCCACATGGGGACTCCAAGATTGCCCCCAGACGGCTTAAGACACCTTCAAGACGGCCCCAAGACAGCCCCAAGACGGCCCAAGAGGCTTCTAAGACGGCTCCAGGGACCCTCAAGACGGCTCCAAGAAAGGCCCCACGACAGGATCCGAGCCGACATTTCGGCCCTCCCGCTCCAGGATACCCCGAACACACTCTCCAGAGGCCCCCAAGGCCCCAAGAGACCCCCAGGAGATCGCCGAGAAGCCACCCATGAGGCCTCCAAACGCCAAGGCCCGCACTAACAGCGACGACGTACACACCTCGGCCGCGCCAGGCTCTATTGATGTCCCGTAGCCCTTGGCTCCAGGATTCCGCTGCTGCTCCGCCTCGGCATACGCCGATTGGGATCATGACGGGCGACTCCCCCGCCGTGCGCAAGAGGCCGGCCTCTCGCGGACGTCCCAGCGCAGATACGTTACATTGCACGCGCTGCGACCAGGACGTCCCGCGGCTGCACTTCGCAGTCCGCCAACGCCACCGAGCCACCCGCGCGTGCATCACTTGCACCGCCGCTGCCCCGCAGACTTCCGGCATGTCCCGACGCCGACTCCAGGTCACTTGCGTTCGTTGTGGGTTTTCCTTGCCAAGGGAAGCCTTCGCTTGCGACCGCGACAGGACGCATGACAGCGTCTGTCGTGAATGCAGCGTAGTGGGTCGACCGCCCTTACAAGACGTGCCGTTCTCTGTCGGAGACATGAACCGCAGTTGCCCGCATTGTGCGGCCTCCCTCTTTCCAACCGAAACGCCAGCGTTTTGCTGCAGCAACGGCAAGTGGGCGATCACCTTCGAGCACTTCTTCTCACCTCCGGCGCCCGCCCCTCTGGAGATATTCCGCTCCACTTGGCCCACTCGCGACGCCGCGGGCCATCTTCTACACGATCCCACGACCAATTCTCCTCGTGTGACAGGGTTCACGGCAGCAAGTCGCCGCTACAACAACTTATTCGCATTGGCTGTTCACGAGATCCACAGCGCAGGAAGCACGAAGGAACTTCGATTCGGCAACTACATGCGTCCTTCCAACCTCCGGATTCACGGCACGATGTACAGGCGAGTGCTCACGGCAGCCGAAACCACCGCTGTGAGATATCTCGTCGTGGACCCTCAAGAACGCACTCGACGAGCCACTACCCTGCAGTTAGACGTGGGGCTGCTCCGTCGCCTGGAACGCCTCCTACTGCCCATCAACCCGTTCATGAATGAGATCAAACGCCTCGGAACTATACGTCGCCCTGGGCCCGACGCAGCGGTGCACTTGAAGTGGGACGAGGACGTCAACGAGCTCGCCGCCATCGTCGACGCGCGCGCGGACAGCCACGCTCAACCTCGCACGGTCACGTTCCGACTGAACTCCTCCGCCGCCCCCAAGTATCTCCATCCACTACACCCTTTCTACGAGCCACTGTCCTACCCACTGTGGTTCCCATCCGGCGGGCGTGGGTGGAGCCCGGATGCGATGGTCAACGGCGCGCACATCAGCCAAATGTGGTGGTACCGGCAATGCATACTACGGTTGTCTCACATGCACGCTTGCGGACGATTGCTCAACGAATGGCTCGTTAATATGTACTGTCGCATGGAGGACGAAAGACTGAGCCCCCTCCGCCGTGACCAGCCCAAACTGCGTGGCACTAGACGTCAGGTCTGCGAGATGATTGCGAACGCCGCCGACCCAGCTCCTGCTGTGGCCCGCGTGCTCTTGCCCTCAGACGTCTTCGAGTCGACTGCTTGGAACTGGCGCGTCGTAAAGGCCCGCCCACTTTCTTTATCATTCTGACATGCAACCCATACTGGCCAGAAGTTCAATCAGCCCTCTTGCCTGGACAAACCGCTGCTGACAGACCAGACGTCGTCGTCCGCGTGTTCCACGCGCGACTCCTGGAGATGGTTCTCTTTCTGAAGACCGACTTCTCTGGGCGCAGAAGGTACATCATCCGCGTGATTGAGTATCAGATGCGGGGCCTCCCTCATGCACACATTGCGCTCGCGGTGGACACACCCCCCCTGCACGCCCGAGGAGATCGATGCTCTCATATCGTGCGAAGTCCCTCCTGAACATGGCCCACTCCGCGAGCGCGTCCTGCATCACATGATTCATCGGTGCAATCATTCCTGCCATCCCAACGACCCTGCCCAGGAGTGCATCAAAGGATGCCCGTGGCCGTTCGCAGACACCACCGAGATCGACGCCAGAGGGTGCCCGCACCATCGCCGACGTCCGTGCTCTAACACTTGCCCAAATTGCCAATCTGCCGGGCCTGCCTACGGACGACGACATGTCTGCTGCAATCGACTGGTCGTCGAGTACTCCCCCAGCATTTTGTTGAAGTGGGACGGCCACGCGAACGTTAAGTTCGCCGGATCTGTCAATCTGTTCGAATACCTATTCAAGTACCTCTTCAAGGGACCCGACCACACCATGTACACCATCGGCTCGGAAGACCAGCCGACCGACGAAATTGCCGATTGGCTACGCGGCAGGTACCTGGTCGCCACGGAATGCGCATGGCGAATCTTCGGCTACACCACGTACGAGCGCGTGCCTACGGTACTTTGTCTGCCGTTGCACCTTCCCGACGAGGACTGGGTCGACTTCCACGAGGGATTCGAAGCCGATGCTTTGGACCACACTACGTCCCAGTTGGAGCGCTATCTCTACCGCCCGAACCGAGAGCCATTCCTCGGCTGCAAATACACAGAGTATTTCGAACGTTTCATTGTCAGCACGACTTGCCCCGTGGCGTTACGCGGTTTCTTCCCCGATGTGTTCGGACACCACCTCGTCGAACCGCCAAGAAGCGAGCGGCCTACCCTGTCTGCAAGATGGCACCGAATACCTGCAGACACCACCGTTCGACTAACTGTGGACACGGCGCCGCCCGGACGCCAAAACTACGTGTACGTCCGCATGCGAAGGGAACCGCCCGTGTGCCGCCTG